CCCACACAGAGGAGAATAGATAGGGTATGGTTTAGGGCGTGGCTACCTTGTGACTGAAAAGTTGCTACCACTGCGACCTTTTTAAGCAGGATTGAGGCGAATCGTATCCACTGCAATGTGTACATTTAACCAGCGCTGCTAGCAAAGCTTATTTAACGGTGCTGCATTTAACTAGCCATGAACTTGTTTTTGGGTGCTGTCTGTGTTTTCATCTAAGAACTTTGATCTTTTCACGGTTTGTTTTCAGTTCATTTTTTGTCACCTAAAAGTGTCTTACCCAGTGTTCAGTTGTACTAAAAGACACTCTGTGGTCTACAGTCTATGATCCTTCCGTATAAACAGATATAACACAACATCAAGCACTGGGCAAGAACTTCAATTCATAATTATGCAATTCCAGAGGGCTAATAAATCACCCTGACATATTCCTTTTCACATTCATATTCATTTGTCAGCTCAAAATGCAGTCTGGTTGTAATCATTGTAATCAATTGAGTTTGTTACATGTTGACATTTGTTGACATTTTAAATGTGTAAAGACCAGTGACAGGAGGAGAGACAGCACACTGGAGGAAGGGATGTTTCCACAGAGGCGATTTACGCATTTGATCAAACCCTCTATAATTACAAAGAGATTATACACTTATGTGAACAGATGCCCGGGCAATACATCATCTTTTTTACACCCCCAAGCCTCATTTTCTCATTTGCAGACTAAAAGCAGCAGCCATAATTCCCTTTTTGGCTTGTCATTGCAGGTCTCAATTTTCTAAATATTCACAGCATCTGTCTTGCGTGTATAACAAGCATCAGCTCAGGTTCTAGCTTCTATAAATGATCCTGAGAATCTACTTCATTCATATCCTTCTGTCATCTCTATAGTAAAGGTGCCCAGTGGAGAGAAACAAAAGTTATGTTGACATTCAGCTTTTCTGACCAATACACACTGTGTTAATGCTTGAGGTCTAACAAACCTTTTTTTTTTAAGTTGAAACATGCATTGTCTCTGTTCATATTTATTTGCTAGCAGTCTTCTTCTTCCCTGCCTTTGCTGGTGCATAGCTTATGCATTACTGCTGCCTGTCATTCAGTGGCATAGTTTGATACCAGTTTGCAGGACTGTGTGTCATGTCACCTGTGTGTGGTTCATCCATTAAAAATGACACCAGAGGTCAAAAACCCCATAGGGTTTAAGCCACCCAGAACAATGATGTCCAGTGTAGAACTAGCCCTGCATAAATATTACTTTAGGTTATAATGTTATAAAAAATAATAATCTGTTGAGATCGACTTGTTCTAAAACTTACATACTTAAGTGGTGGTAGAGATCCCTGCTGCCCCTTTTCTTTAGGATTCCTATTCTGCCAAAGCAAGTTACTGCTTTTCCACAAAAGAAGCAAACAGGAACAGGAAGGACAAAGTCTCCCAGCCTGACCAGCAGAGTCAGAGTGGAAAAACACTGGGCCCCTTGTGTGATTTACCTTATCCCTTCTAGTGTGGCTCTGTATGTAATCATGGTGCTGCCTATTTGACCCTTCCATCACTGATGAAGGTGAGGATGACCAGTGCAGGGGTTTTGGTGATGTGGTGAGGGGTGTGTGGCTGTCACAAATGGAGCTCATTGTCTTTGTGCAGCATAACCTGCTAACAACAATCTAGCCGTGGCTGAGAACTACAGTTGCAGTAATAACCTTACGTTAAACACAAAATGATCACGACCATGGAGCTTCTTTCAGCTGTAACTGTGTGAATGAAGTGCTTATCACAGTCCTGCAAACAGTCAAATACCAGATTTTTTTCATTTTTGTGTCAGAGCGTTTGATTTGTTGATTGCTGTCAAGAATTTCAAAAAATATCACAAGAAATTCTTCTGAAATAAATTGCCTACCCCAGCTCTCAGAAAAATATTTATATTTTAACGTGATGCAGAGATTACACCATGGAAAATACAACCATACAAATCAAAAACAGTTACAGGGAGGTAATCAACTATTTTTAAGTACATCCCTTTTCACTTAGGGGTGTACTCACTTTTGTTGCCAGCGGTTTAGACATTAATGGCTATGTGATGTGTTATTTTGAGGGGACAGCAAATTTACACTGTTATACAAGCTGTACACTCAATACTTTATATTGTAGCATAGTGTCATTTCTTCACTGTTGTCACATGAAAATATATAATCAAATATTTACAAAAATGTGAGGGGTGTAATCACAGATACTGTAAATGTGATGTATGATGGTAATTTTCCGCCCAGAGCTTTATAGAAATACAAACACCAGTGCTTATTACATCTCTTAGTCAGAGAAGACCAACCAACCTTATGTATACAGTGGTATGTAATGTAGCTATCATCAGTAATAAACCTCAGGGCTGAGTGGTAAAGAGAATCTAAGTGTGGAAGCATCTTCACATTACATCCCCATAGTCCAGAACTGATAGGAAAGTGGATTCAACACTAATCCTCCAACACATCAAAGGAAAGCTGCTTTTATTTCTGTTTGAAAGCCAATCTTTTGTTGTACTCTGCTGCCAGGGTACTTGTAATGTTACCCTTCCAATATTTGAACCATTGACAGAAGAAATATGCAGTGGTCTGCGTTTTTGGATCTCGAGACAACCATGGACTTTGTTTTATTTGCGTTAAGTATCAGGTTAAGATTAATAAGAGAATGTTGCAATGCATGAAAGGAACACATTATTATGATGTTTCAAAGATGGAACAAAGAAAAGAAGTGAAGTGGAGAATGTTTTGCCAGAATTATGGAGTTAATCTTATGGGAGCATGGCTCTTTTTTAGCAAATACTGTAGCAATCTGCATGCCTGCAAGATCATGAACGATCTTGTTTCCACAGTCGATACTTGACCTGGTGAAGGAGGTCACCAGACCAACAAACAGACCGATAGTATCACCCTTTGGCTCTGTCAGTGGTGTGGAAAAGACTGTGTATAGAAATGAAATGCAGCAACAACAAAAGCAACATATAGCTCATGTTGAACTTGAATAGAAGTTATGGATTAAATATACAGGAGGAGATGCTCATGTTTTATGTCAAAAGAACAGTGCAACACACTGCAGGGGTTTATTTAGAAAAAGAAGACCCTGTCTCTTTTGGATTCTGTCTTATCTCTGACATCATCCTGATACTCCCTCCATCCATCCCCTGTAGTGCTTGCTGTCACTGCACACACGCACACACTCCTTCAAAATGGTTGGGGACTGCAAAAATCGTGACTTAGCCGAAAACCCCTCTTTCACACACATACACACACACACACACGCGCGCTCACACACACGCTCACACGCTGGGGGACTGCTAACATCGTGACTATGGCAGCCGAGCCCTCCTCAGCACAGACACACAAACACACACTCATTAGCTAGTTGAAGTGGGTGTGTGTGAGTGGTTTTGTCTGATTTCTGTAGAGGAGATCAAACTCAGTCTGGGATAAAAGTGCTCCTCTGCTAAATTCATGCATCTGCCTCTATATTCATGAAATTCTTCAGCCAGCTGATTTCTAACCGAAAATGGCACCTTTTTATCTGACATGGAACGGATTTGTCATGTTATAGATAATGTTTGTAATGAGCTACAGTGTGTAACTACTCAATGTGCAGTTAAATGCTGCCTCCCAATGGTCAAAGACTCAATCTTTTAATTTATTAACCTTCACATTGCTTACTTATTATTATTATTACTTACTTACTTATTATTACAAATATTACACTCTTAATTCTTATCTTGTTTGCTTATGTTAGACCACAATAAACATCTTACATTAGACATCACCAGTTACAGACACTAATAATAAGTGTAGTAAGGGTGTAAATGTGGACTTTAACACTTTAATGCAGTATAATATAAAATGCAACTTTATGCAACAAAGCTGTACAATATAATCAGATTATCTGCTTTGTGGGAGGAACCTGTGCTGGTAGGTATTACAGGGTCCAGTGGTTTAGCACTTTCCTGATGTTAGGCTGATAGATAGAAAAGAAAAGCACACATAAGCACAAAATTAATGTAGCACATATAGGTGTATACATTCTGACTTTAAGTCTATAATTTAAGTTGTAAAAATAGTAGGGTCAACAGGGTTTGTTGTGCAGGCTTTCTATTACATCTATGCATATGTCTACAAGACCTTGCTGAGATAACCCTGATGACATCCCTATGATGATGATTAATGTAAGCCGAAGCACTGAGTTTGTGTTACCCTGTCACACAATTGTTGTGTATTAGTGTGTTGCGTCCAGGCATTGCTGGCAAGTAGCCTACGGGACGTAAATAACAAACCCCATCACTGCACAGCTAGATTGTAGTGCAACACAGTGAACACACAGACAGTAGGTCGGTCATTTTTATTTATTTTTTACTCGATCATTTTACTAAAAAGAAGCTGAAGCACCGTGTCAAGTGTACTTGCCCAGCGGACGTGACCAAACCCGAATCGAAACCTAACATTATTTCTAAATTTTTGTACCGATGGGTCCCGTCGGGCTCGGGTCGGGTCTCCTCTAATAGACACTCCAACCATGGTCTTCAAGGTATGAACCATGCTAAAATTGTTCATCTGAAAACAAAAAAACCCCAACACAAACATAGCTTTCTACTGATCTGGATAAATGAGCAATTTTGGGGACAGGCTCCATTGTGGTAAAATAATGTATTACAATTTATTTCTTTGTCACAGTTCTTTATGAAACAAAGCTAGTGGAGCCTGTTAAACTGTTTCTCTGTTGAAATACTAATATGTGCTGTGGTCTGGGGGTTTATGATGCTGACCATGTAATTGCATCAGGTACGCTGTGTGTATGTATGCTGTCTAAAAAAGGCAAAAAAACAACAGAAAAACATTACTGTATCTAATTTACTTTTATTGTTAAATATTCATCTCAGTATCAGTCCTGTGTCCGCCAGTCTTTAGATACAAACGTGAACTCTTCTCTGTAGTAGTGGTTGTTACTAGTATTGACCTGTGCTTTGTGCCCTGCAGGAGAACCCAGAGTGTGGGCCATGAACCTCTGAGGAGACAGGGCTCCTCCACCACCAGCCGTCCCCCTCAGCCCCTCTCTGCCCAGGCCATCAAACACATCTGGGTTCGAACGGCTCTCTTTGAGAAAGTTCTGGACAATATAGTGCAGTACATCGTGGACAACTCCAGGTGATTTGATTTATTTTTCACCCCCAAGGCACAGCAGTGACTCACAGCACTCCACTCCAGGTTTCATTGTAGCTGAATGATGAACAGTCCCTTGTATTACTTGTTCAGTGTTCCATTCTCCTCCTGTGTCCGCTCTCTGGTTGCTTTGTTCTTTCCTCTGTCTGGCAAACAACCACTGTGTGCTTCAAAAAGCTGTCCACACTCGGTGTGTCAGCTGAGTGAGATGATGCACTGCCACTTCACTGATCAAAGCCTCAAATGGCGAAAAAACCACCGTAAAACCTGAGTAGTGTAGTTTGATGTTGTAGTTTTGTTGGTCCTGTTTACAAATGGGCAAATAAAGAAAACTTGAAGTCATGTTCGGACATCTGCAGTGTAGTTCATCTAATGTGATCTAAGCATCCATGACACATGTCAAGCTTCATGTTAGTCTCTCAGGAAATCTATCTCACATGCTCATTTCTCAACAAACAGCAACCTGAATAGACCTAAGTCTGGCTCTCACTGAATTTCCTGGCTTCACTGAGCCTAACACAAACAGTGTCATGAAGCTGCTTATCAACTGGCTAAGTTAAGTCTGCTGTTTCCTAACCTGCTATAAGCGTGTTCACATAAAAGAGGCAGAGTTCCAAGTTACATGCAAAATTATCAGAGGAATAAATGAGAGAGAGATTAAATTGTGAGACCTGTAGGGAAACGAAGGATTACGAAAGAAGAATAGAATTATGAAACTTAAGAAACTGTAAGAATAATATCCAAAAATAAGGTTAAAGCTGGAAAAATGCTTCTGCAAAGATTAGGGATGTCACAGTCCAGGCTTTGACACGGAGCTATTGTAGGTAACAGCCGTGCAGATTTGCACGTCAAGCAAGCTGACTGGTTGATCGAACTCCTGTCAGGAGGCGGGTTCAAATCAGGGAAGAAAGAAATGTAACGTAAACTTTATACAAGCAGTACATACAAGTAAAAATGAAACAGCTATGCAAACATGCACTAATAACCCCTGTCCAAACGCATATAACATTTGTGGCTGAGTGTAATGAGTCTATCAAACAAGCCCTATTTAAAAGGGCTCAGAGAATTCACCAGCTGTAGTCAATCCTAATCACTCACGAGAAGTTATAGGCCATGCCACAAAGCAAATTTGATTGACACAACTTTCCACATTACCAAACTTGATCATTTAAGTTGATGGATGTATCTTTGACCCAGGAGATTTGGTCACATTTTCCCATAATAATATTATAAGAGAACCAAAATTGATGAATGTTGTTTTGTGACAAAGAGGTATGTGCTCCAATCATTCCATAGCAGAAAAACAGAACAGAGTTGTTGTAATTATTGGAAACTGTAACTGTCGTGATATACACTTGCTCTTTACAAGTTTATGTAAACTTTTGAGCACAGCTGTATCTATCTTTGCCTGAGGAAATTCTTTGGGGATTGTTGTAAGGCTTTCTGGGAAATTAAATATGTGCAGATGACATGATATTTTTCTGTAACCTACAACATATAGCTCAGGAGGACTCCTCATTAGAATTAGATGACGTTTAATAGTGTTTTCCTTTGATTCACTTATTTCTGTGTTTATCTCCGCAGTAAATACTATGAGAGGGAAGCTCTGATGCATGACTCAGTTTTCGGGCCCATCTTGGCAGCCTTACTGGGTGAGTATATTACACTATGCTGGAACTGCCAAAATATCCAAAATTACCAGAGGCCAATAATAGAAAGTACAAAAACACAGAACAAATGTTAATCAACTATTAGGTAAATAAATGAGACAGTTGTTGAAGGAATTGTTGTCATGTAATTTTTCCACAAACTGATCTAAGAGCTATTTATAGAAGCATGCAGTTTAGAGCCACCGCCACTGACAGTTTGACAGCAGGAGCTGAAGGCAGACAAGCCAGACACAAGGTTTAATAAGCAGAGGAACAGAAACACACAGGACAACGTGAACAGGCTGACAACTGGAAAAGAAAGACTACATCCACTGACAGAAGGGTGGGGACGCTGATTTCGTTCCGTAATGATCCCTCATACAGCCCCCTAATCAGTGATGGTGGGATTAGAAGCGCATATTTGGCATGTGTGGAAAAAGTGCCAGATCTGACGGGTCATCTGTCATTAAAACGGAATGAGTCAGGGGGGGCTCAGACACATCGCGCAGACAGAAACGGATAAAATGGCACAGAGAAGCCCAAGGTACCAATGCACAGATCTCCATGGATGAGAAAAAGGCTCTTCCTTTGCTTCATTTCTGTGAGGCTGGGGGGAAGAATTTTTCTTTGGGATGTAATTCAAGACTGAAAGGAGTATGTTAGCATCTTCAGAGAGATTTGGGCTATCTGCTTGAAAGCGCAACCCCCCAAAGCACACAGCTCTACCAATGTCTGAAGGTAGGTTAACTTGAGCAGCAGAGGACACGATGTGGGATCTGCGCCTCTTTCCACACACCAGCGCTGAAAAGCAGACCATCTACCAGCTTAACACTCCCTGGGCTTTCACGCCCTGGATAGTTCACCCCACTGCAGGGGGCAGTCCTAACCGAAGGGAATTCCCGATGACAGAACATGGGGAATTTTAGTAGTTAGTTGGCCAGGTCTGACTGCTGTGAGGGAGGAATAATCAGCATGCGTCTTTTGTGCCAAGGGTACAACCACGTGACTTGCAGACATTCTGCCCAGCAATCACAGATAGCGCTGTCAACACTCTGTGGGGAGCGAGAGAGAATTTAGGGTTTAGGGTCTATGTGCACACCCAGGTAAATTATTGACTGGGTGGGAAGTGCAGAACTCTTCAGCCAATTTATGGCCTTGACAGGTGTGTGCTAAATAGAGGGGGAGGAGTGGTGAACTGAAGCGTGTAGCCCTTTATGATTAGCCTTGACATCCCTGTGTTTATGGATAACAGGCTTTGCTACGTTAAGCAGTGCTCTGAAAGTAGCCTCGCTCATGTCTGTTGACATAGTTATTAACCAGTGCAGAATGAAAAGGCTACCGCTGGTCATGGTGCTGAAAACTGACAATCTTGACAGACTCAGTATGCAGCTCTGTGTGTTCAGAGTCTGAATCAGACCATAGTGAGAGATCCCCACTTTACATGCTGGGGTGAAGCAGCGGCAGCAGCGGCTGCAGGGCGCTTTCTCCTGGAGTGAGCGTCTCGCCATTTTTGCTGCTGAGGTGTGGCTTTGCTCCAGAAGGTGTGTTACCTCACCCTTTCCGCTTCCTCTGCTGCTTTGTGCAGATGAGCTGTGGTGGTCAGGAGGATTGGTCCTAACAACCAATGAGGAGATATGGGACCATCCAGCAACTCCCTTCTGATTTGAGAGCTGAGACATGTGGAGCCTGATATTACGTTGCATCATTGTCTGCCACGTCATTATTCTGGATGAAGCCATTGTGAAGCTGTGGTGGGGGTGACCAGCTCTGTGGAGAAAATGTTTTGTGCTGCAGCTACCTGAGTGACACAATGGTGCGATTGGTCAGTGAGGTGATCGGGGTAGGGGGTGAGGGTATCAAGGATGGAGCCTGTCTGGCAGCCAGTAAACAGGCGGGCACTACAAGAATTGTTGTTTATTTGTTGACTGCTTGTACACTGAAGAAAAAATGGGAGCAGGCTGTGAGCACGGGGATAAACCCAATCATGACAGCTCTTAGAGAGTAAAGCCTATCCGAAATACCAATACTATAAAATACATACTGTGCATAAATGCTAATGCTTAAATACAAATACAGAAATACTAATGCTGAAAGCTGAAAGCCTTTTTTGATGGACAAAAGGTGTGGGTAGCACAAACTGGTGCAACAAATGTCAATCAGTCTGTGACTTTGCAACCCTACACCTATTTCTCCAACCGGGTCGGAGCATCTCCAAAACTGCAGCTCTTGTGGGGAGATTCCCATCTGTAGTGGTCCAAAGGAAGGGCAGGGCTGGCCTGTACCGTCCAATCCTACAGACAAGCCACTGTAGGTCACATAAGATTATTGCTGGTTCTGATAGAAAGGTGTCAGAACACACAGAGCGTTGCAGTTTCGTATGGGGCTGCATAGCCGCAGACCAGTCAGGGTGCCCATGCTGACCCGTTCTCCGCACGTGAGCATTAGAACTGGACACTGAGCAGATGGAAGAAGGTGGCCTGGTCTAAGGGATTATGTTTTCTTTACATCATATGGATGGGTGATTACATGACTTACCTGGAGAACACATGGCACCAAGATGCACTATGGGAAAAAAGGTAAGCCGGCGGAGAGAATGGTGAATAAATAAATAATAAGTGGAAACCAGTAAACAGGTGCTGATTAGAAAACAGAGTTACTGGGTTATTGCACAGGATGTTGTGGTTTCAGACAGAACGGACCCAAGCGCAACACTTGTCAGTTTGCAAAAGAGGTTTATTGAGGGGGGAAAAAAGGGAGAGGAGAGACAGGAGGTGAAAAGGGGAAAGTTGGATGCCGGCAGACGTGGGTGCGGGGGGCCGAGGAGCTGGCGGGGCTGGAGAGGTTCAAGTGAGGCGACCGAGAGGGGGCAGGAGGCCGAAGCGAAATTGTTCCTGACACTGTGAGTCAGAAATCAGCTGTTCATCAGAGTGATGGCTTGTGGGAAGAAACTGCTCCTGAGTCTGTTGGTTTTGGCGTACAGTGCTCTGTAGCGCCTACCAGAGGGGAGGAGCTGGAACAGGTTGTGACCGGGATGAGATGGATCTGCAGTGATGTTTCCTGCCCGTTTCCTGACTCTGGAAATGTAGAAGTCCTGAATGGAGGGCAGGTTGGCACGGATTATTTTTTCTGCAGTCCTGACTGTCCGTTGTAGTCTGCTCCTGTCCTTTTTGGTGGCAGATCCAAACCAGACAGTGATGGACGTGCAGAGGACAGACTGGATGATGGCTGTGTAGAACTGGATCAGCAGCTCCTTAGGCAGGTTGAGCTTCCTGAGCTGACACAGGAAATACATCCTCTGCAGTGCCTTCTTGATGATGGTGTCCGTGTTGGGCTCCCACTTCAGGTTCTGGGACATAGTGGATCCCAGAAACCTGAAGGATTCCACAGCAGACACAGGGCTGTTTAGAATGGTAATGGGGGACAGAGTGGGGGGGCTCCTCCTGAAGTCCATCATCTCCACAGTTTTGAGCGTGTTAAGCTCCAGGTTTTTCTGGCCGCACCAGAGAGCCAGCTAATCAACCTCCCGTCTGTAGGCCGACTCGTCACCGTCCCGGATGAGGCCGATGACCGTTGTGTCATCAGCGAACTTCAGGAGTTTGACAGATGGGTCTTCTGAGGTGCAGTCGTTGGTGTAGAGGGAGAAGAGCAGTGGGGAGAGCACACACCCCTGGTGGGCGCCAGTGCTGGATGTGATGTTCCCCAGCCTCACCTGCTGACTCCTGTCAGTCAGGAAGTCTGTGATCCACAGACAGGTGGCACAGTGAGCTGGGTGAGTTTGGTGCTGAGGATGTCTGGGATGATGGTGTTGAACGCCGAGCTGAAGTCCACGAACAGGATCCTAGCTTTTGACCCTGGAGAGTCAAGGTGTTGCAGGATGTGATGCAGACCCAAGTTGACTGCATCATCCACTTACCTGTTAGCCCTGTAGGCAAACTGCAGGGGGTGCAGAAAGGGGCTTGTAATGTCCTTCAGGTAGGTCAACACCAGTCTTTCAAAGGACTTCAAGACTACAGATGTCAGGGCGACAGGCCTGTAGTCATTCAGTCCAGAGATGGAGGGTTTTTTTGGGACCGGGATGACTGTGGAGCGTTTGAAGCAGGAGGGAACTTCACACAGCTCCAGTGATTTGTTGAAGATCTGAGTGAAGATGGGGGCCAGCTGGTCCGCACAGATTTTCAGGCACGTTGGTGAGACACCGTCAGGTCCAGGAGCCTTCCTGATCTTCTGCCTTTGGAAGAGGTGGCTCACGCCCTGTTCACAGATCTTGAGTGCGGGTGAGAGGTCAGAGGGGGAAGGTGACTGTTTGAAGATGGCGTTGGAGTGGAGGAGAGGTGTGACTCTGGGCTTTTCAAACCTACAGTAGAAACCACTCAGCTCGTCTGTTAGTCGCTGAGTACCAGCAGTGTTGGGGGATGGTCTCTTGTAGTTTGTGAGTGTCCGTAGGCCTCTCCACACTGACGCAGGGTCGTTGGCTGCAAAGCTGTTTTTGCTTTTCAGCGTAGCATCTCTTTGCAGCTTTGACCTCTTTAGAGTGTTCATGGCCTGGTTGTACAAGACTCTGTCCCCACTTCTGAAGGCCTCTCTTAGTGAGGGCTGCATGATTTCTTCAACACTGTGACATCTGTGCACCAGCCTTCGTTCATATAGAAACAGAGTCCGCCTCCCCTTGTTTTCCCGTGAGCTCCCTTTCGCAATCCGCGCGGATGAGATTAAATCCCGGTAGGTGAAGTGCGCTGTCCAGGATGCGCTCGGTGAGCCAGGATTTGGTGAAACAGAAGGCAGCAGATTTGCAGAAGTCCGAGTTGGACTGTTGAGGAGCAGGAGTTCGTCCATTTTGTTGGCCAGAGAGCGGACATTCGCCAGGTGGATTGAAGTGAGCGCAGTGCGAAATCTCCGCTGTCTCAGCTCAACCAGTGCCGATTCCGAAGGATCCCAAACAGAACTGCTGCTCCTCCAACTAATAACTCCGGGAAAGTTCCAGGGTCAATAAAGAGCGGTGGAATAGTATGAGCAAAAGTTACCAGAGAGGGACGGCAGGAAACAGCGTTAATTAACAAAAACACAAAAAGCACTACAGAGCGTAATCCTGTCATCTTGTCATATTGTATATGACAAGATTATATATCTGACATTTGTTTGAATATTTCTATGATTACTTAAAGAACACCAGCTGCACTTAAACTGGAATTACATATATAGTTTTTTTCACAGTCACATTTATTTTCCCCTTGACTTGCAGTTTCCTGCTACCAGATATACTCACTCGAGTGCACTAAATATGAATTAATCCATGATAAATGAAAATAGTCCCAAAACAACTGCGCTATATGCTCTTGTTTGAGTAACATTTATTAAAAACTGTTTCAGGTGTCAATGACTGAGCCTTTAACAAAAAGAAAGTAACAATACATTTGTGATCTGTTTGTAAAGATTAAAGTCCTCAGTAGGAACCAGTGGGGGAGTGTCACAGGCAATGTTGGCACTTCAGATAGTATTGAGAGAAGAACCACATGGTTGGTTTTGGTCTTTTCATTAGATTTGTTGACAACAAGAACAATAAAAATGACACTGGGCTTAAACTTTAACAGCAATAACAATATTAATACGACAAAGGCTGCAGACTGCATGGAAATGTAACATATTCTAGACATACTACTGGAAATTGGATACTACTGGAAACACTACTAGATCCAGGCAGGAAACTTTACTTTCAAACAGCATGATTCTCCACTCAAATGTGTTTGATTAATGTTCTGTAAATAAATGATCAGGGCATTTATAAAATGATTTAGTGCCATAAGAAGCTGTTTTGTACTAAGGCAGAATGTTCATTACATTATAAAAGACTGTGATCTTCTGTACCTGTTGATATGAGTTCAGTATAAAGTCACTATAGGTAAGTAGTGAACTTACAAAAGGTTTAAACTGGTGAATTACACTGATTGTCTGGTAATGGATCTGTTAATGGGTCTGCATGTATGTGTGCTGTGTCTCAGTGGGGCCATGTGCTCTGGAGTACACCAAACTGAAGACATCGGATCATTTCTGGACAGACCCCTCAGCCAACGAATTGGTTCAGCGCCATCGTATCCACGGGGCCCATCGGGGCCAAGACACCTCGGCCGGCCGCCGGCCTGCCCTTGGGGTGAGTGTTTAAAATCAGCTGCTTCATTGTCAGGAGGTGTTGGTGTATGGTGAGGAGGGATCACTGAGGATGTGTGGGATTGGAGTTGATATTAATTGTGTAAGTTGGCTGTTAAAAATATTTTCTTTTTCTAGATCCGCAAGAGGCAGTCCAGTGGCAGCATGTCAGAGGACAGGTTTGCGGCATCAGCGAGGGAATATGTGGAGTCTCTTCACCAAAACTCCAGAACACACCTTCTCTATGGCAAAAACAACGTCCTCGTGCAACCGGTATGACTGAACATTCTCACTTTGTGACCAGCTTTTATGCACAGTACCTTTACTGTTTCTGTCTGACCATCTACTAGAGTTAAACAATGGGCTCCAAGTTCAGTTTTCAACCTATATCTGTGCTATATCTGGCATTAATGTTAAAGGGTTCAGAAACTGGGTTTTCCAGATCAAATTCTTTTTTGCTTCCAATCCCAATGTGACCAATCAATATCAAAACCAACACAGGGTCCGATCCAGTATCTCTTTTACAAAAGTGTGGTTCCAGTTATTCAACAGTATATAGGTTTCTGACCGTTGGTGTCTTTGAAGATAACAAAGAATTGGATTTTATATAGCCTACACTGGTCCATCAAATGCTTCCTGGATCGGTAATGATACTGTACCTACCTACAAAAAAGCACATGTTCTGACTTCCCTTTAATGGTATCTAGCTATGCAGATAGTTTGAGGCATTGAGATTCCTCCATTTTATGAATGGATTGTTGTTTGTGGTGCTAACAGCATTAATAAATGATGTTAAAAAAAACTCAAACTTAAGAAACATTGGGACTCTTTCATAAGACGTTCAAACTCACCCATTTTTTCTTAACTTACAAACAAATTCAGAACTTTTGTCAGGTTCATTAGTGCTGTCTTTTTTTTTCAAAAATGTCCATAGGTAAGTACAAAATTGACTGAACAAATCGTTACTATTCGTTACTGTTTGGTGTGAGTCATAGTAGAAAATACTATAAGACACAACTGATATTGTGAAAATTTCTGATATAAAGTACCATTTTCAACACTTTTCAACGTGTTTCAGCCAGTTGGTCGTGGCAAAATGCAAAAATAGTACTGTGATTGATGGTGTGCATATTTTAAAATAGGTAAACTCTTTTGGCCCACTTAAATAATGTGCTTTTCAACATACATATTGTTTGAGTAGCTAAAATCTGACCAGTCTCCTGATATCTGTCTCCATATCTCTTTGAATTGAGTAAATGTGTAAGAATAATTCAATCTGCTCATGTTTCACAAATTACATATTAGATAATTCTCTAATCTCTTATTTGTTTTTCAAAAAGATATTTAATAATGTCCTGGTCACAGTTGCTGTCAACAGTTTTCCTTGGAGCAGTCCTTATGAAAGCAATTGACAGTGTGTTCTGTGGATTATCCACAGTATCATGGACACTGTCTCTTGAAATATTGAAATTTAATTTCTCAATGTAGGGAGGACCACAATCACATTCACCTGCATTGGATTTGCATTGAGGTAGATACTTTATAGGAATATCTCAAAATCTGGACAATTAAATATGTTTATGAGGATACCCAAGAGAAAACATTGCACAAGAGAAGTTGAAAAAGCTAAATGTACTAAATGTACACTATGATTAAAAGAGAGATATAATATCACTGTTAACGGCTATACTAGCTTCTGGGTCCTGACTTTTTTGGCGTAACTTTTTTGGTGGAATAATACGGAAGTAACAGGTCTTGATGTGGTGCTGTGGAGACCCTGAAGCTACTGTTGCTCTGGGATGAAGGCAGAAATCCAACTTGGAAGCCTACATATATGCACTGCACTCAGACAGCACTTTGCACCCACTCAGCTGGTGTACAAATAAATTGCAAATGATTGCTGTTTTCATCTGTTATTGTGCTGCACACAGACACACAGTATTTTGTATGTGTGATCTTGGAAATGAAAGCTGTAATGTGCTCTGCACTGCCAAGTAGCTTCAGCATGTTTGGCCCTGGGAATATATAATGAGCACATATTTGCTGCCCACAATGCTCAGCCTTCGCCAGAAGCTAACACACATGGCTGAGTGCACACACAGATATATTCAGCACTTACTGCATGCTGTGCATGCTAAATGGTATTGTATGTGATCCTATTCTCTGCTTCTCTCATAATGTAGTTTCTGTCTATATACAATGTAACATGTACTGTAGGTATGCTGAGTTATAGTGGTAAACTCTCATATATGTATAACTAATTATAGATTTCTATAACTTAAACTTTGAGTGTTGTTTATTTAGTAACAAATAGTTCATGTTTAACATAAATAGTTAAACGTTTCAGGAAATGTGCTTATATTTCCGAGAGTTAGGTGAGAAGATTGAAATCTTGTTTCTGTGAATGACACTAGAGTCAGAGGGCGATTGGCCTAGCGTAGCATTAAGACTGTAAGCAGAGAGAAACAGTTTGACAGGTCAAGTTCATTACAGAGTGTAACTCTCCCTAAAACAATAACAACAAATTAGTCTGCTTTAGAGATATTGGTAGGCATATATTTTTAACTTTGGACACAGCCAAGCTAGCTCTTTGCCACTGCAAGTTTTCAGGTGGTTAAACAGCAAATCTCACAGCAGTTGTTTGGATAAAAATGGCGGGAGGATGCAGCCTCAATTTTCTGCTCTCTGTCTTTTTCTCCAAACTTGACACCTTCAAACCTCTAGTCTCACGTCATGTCCTTCTTTCTTCCTCTTCCTTCTCCCACGGTAGAAGAAGGACATGGAGGTTTTGCGGGGCTACCTGTCACTACACCAGGCTGGGGAGAACCTCACCCTGAAGTGGACACCTAACCAGCTCATCAACGGCACGCTGGGAGACTGTGACCTGGAGAAGAGGTAGCCAAAACACACCTGCTATGTATTATATATAATGATCTAACTCCCCATGTGAAATGCATATAATGACACTAACAATGATTTGAAATTCCAACCACTGCCTCTGAAGCTTAATTTTACAACTCGACATTTCCCTTTCTGTCAGTATCTACTGGGACTATGCCCTGACTGTCCCACTGCGTCAGATAGTCTGTATCCACTGTCACCAACGCCGTGAGTATACTGCTCCTTTCCCACAATACGTCCTAATTCAGTCATCCTTGTACACACAGTGATTTCACACTTCACCCATCATCTTATATTAAGAGCGTTCTGTCACAAAGGGACTGTGTTTCATAAGATGCTGTCATATCAATACATTGATTGCATGTCTTGATAAAGAGTACATTTGTTTTTAATGGGCAGTGCAGGCCTACCTTGGTGACAACTTCTTCATCTTTTATACTGTCTCTCCTTCTGTATCTAATACATTTGTTTGTGTATGTGCATGTACTCTCACTCTCTTTGAACATGATTTATACAACAATCCATTCTAATATTAGAAGGAGTTTAATAATATTGTAGAGTACAGTCTAGACCTGCTCTATATCAAAATGTTGTGATTTGGAGGCATATAAATACAATTGAACTGAATGGATCTTTAACTTGAAGAAAATGTCTTAAACTAATCTAAAGGTTTATAACATGGTCCATTCTGTCCTTTTTTTCTAATCTCATCCTTGCTTAATGTTGTTTTTCACGTATATTCCAGCTGACTGTGGTGGTACACTGGTTCTGGTCAGTCAGGATGGGATCCAACGGCCTCCCCTCCACTTCCCCCCTGGTGGTCACCTCCTTGCTTTCCTCTCCTGTCTGGAAACAGGCCTTTTGCCACGGGGTCAACTGGAGCCCCCCCTCTGGTCCCAGAAAGGCAAGGTGTGTCACCTTGTTAGAGCCGTATTCACGCCTAAACTCAAGGTTACATGTATCTAAATGCCTGGCCAGTGTTGATACTGCAGGAGAGATGTTAAAACATGAGGGCACATCCACTAGCAACCTTTCCCCCCAAATGAAATCACTTGTGTCTTTTATTTAAATCACATTTAGGAGCCTCACACCAAGTGGCACAGATACACAGTATGACCTGGATACAAGTAAAGACAACATGTAAACAGCGTTATGATCACATTAAATTCCATCATATACAAAGGGGAGGGAATAACCGAGAGGGCTGTGTTTGCTTAGCCAATGAAGATGCCATTTTGCCATCATTTGTGCTTGTTTTGCAGGGAAAGGTGTTCCCTAAACTGAGGAAGAGGAGCAGTGCTGCTAGGCTCATAGACCAGGACAGGAACGGTGAGGAGGAGACAGCTGCTGACTACGTGTTTCGCATCGTCTACCCTGGATACCGCTACGACGCAAGTAAGTACCACTTTTTCATTGCCATGCCCACAGCAAAAATGTAATATTCTTTTACGGTTAACACCCATTTCTGTGATTGTATTTGCCTTTTTAAAAATAAGTACAGTATATCTGCTTGAATTTTGTCTTCCCATGATGTGATTACAAAGTACGCGTGTAGTGTGGTGACTTTCCCACGATGCTCTTCCCAAGGTCTGAAGGGTGGCACTGTTCTAACTGTGTTCTCTGTTGTCCTGGTGCAAGCAGTCACTATAAACTACCACCACACCACGGGCAGCCGTGCTCCGTCGCTGGACGATGACGAGGAAGAGGAAGATAGGCTCCATGCTATGATCTCAATGATCTGCTCGCGGAACCTCACAGACCCTAATGTCATGAAAGGTTTTTATCACCTAAACACACCCACCCAACCCCACCGCCCCCCACTCCTGAGACCTCACCCCAGCTTCAGACATCCCCCTACACCCCATCATGCCCACCCAGGCCCTCCTCCCTTCCACCTCTCAACCCCACCTCCCCCAGCTTCGTCTGCCTGTGTGTGTGCTGCCTGAGGCCAAGCCCAACAGTGTGGAGTAGGCTGGGGTTGGCTGTGTTAACAAAGGGGAAGTTCATGTAGATCAACACAAAACTGAAAAGCAAAGTTGCTTTAAACAATATTCGGCCTATAGATACAAAATAGTACGCCAATCGCTAAGGCGATGTACAGTCTCTGGTGCCTCTAACTTTGTTCCACCTGCTTTGATTTAGTTTAAAAAATGTAGTAGAAATTCTCTGGTATTGTCTCTATCATGATTTTAATAATTGTTCCACTAATCAATATTTAGCGTTAACTTTGAACTAATTGTTTAGTTTTTTAAGGTACACAGGTGCTGTCATCAGCTTTGTTTCCAGCCACTGCAGCAGCAGTTTTCTTCAAAAGTTCTGTTAAGTTAAACCCACTGTATGCTAGTTACTCAGCAGCAAACACACAAAGTTAGCAGTTAGCTGGTGAAGAAAGTTGAGCATGTAACAGCTCAAGATCCAGATATTTTTCACAGGAGTTGGTGGAGACCAAAACAGAGTTTAAAGGAAAGTGGACAGCTTATATTTATCAGGTAGACAGAAACACGACACCAAATGAATGCCAGGGCTGCCAACTTCTCAATTTAGTTTGGAGTGAGCTTCTTTATTGGAGGTCGGTTCATTTTATGAGTAGGTAGGCCTTCTGTGTCATATCCCACCTCGGGGGTCAGGGTCATCCTTCTTTATCCTCAGGAATTTAGTTTTAAAAGTTCAATAGCCACATTCACAGTTTAAAAGTATGTGTACATGAGAAGCCAAGTCAATAATCATAGTCAGATCAGTGTGATCAATTTATGACGGAAATGTTTTTATTTTGGCTATGTAAACAGAAACACTAAATTCAGGCAGCAGGGGGCAATTTAAAATATGATTTGGTCTTCCCTCCTCTTTAACCTCTTGTGGCACCTTTTCACCTCAAAGATAATTTATTTTAATTCAGTTAGAAACTCCTGGACTGGAGGTTCAAAACTTTTTGAACATTAAAAATCTATCCCACAAATCTGTGTAATCTGACATGTCCAGAAAGATTTTTTATGAGAAAATCGTTATCATATAATCACAATTCATAATATTTTCTAAGTCTGCTCTGCTGCTTATTACTTGGTCTGCTGTTAGGTTACCTTCAGACAGAACCCGTATGGATGAGACCCGTGCAAAACGAAACTAACTTAAAACACTTGTGATCAGCGGAAACCTCACCAAAAATCCACACGTTAACTTCAAAAAACTGTATTGTACCCTTGTATGAAAATAATTTGTTAATGCCATTGATGTTTTAAAATGCTACATGTAGCATCTTCTAAATACAACATGCAGAATTCCTGCTTGCTTTGCTGCTATGCTTTGTCAAAGGTTCATACTGTTCTGTGTATGAAGGTTTCATCAAACCCTAATGTCAAATTGTAAGTATAGCTGTGAGCTGTCAGCACAGTCTCAAGTTCTGCACATGTGAAATAAACTATAATGTAGATCTCCTTCGATGCTAGTGAATTGTAGGTGCAGCTGCAGCTCCCGAGTGTCAGATGGAGGGGGACAGGAAGAGGAGGAGCACAAGCACAAAGAGAGGAAGTCTCAGGGCATGAGCGAGTCTTCAGCGCACACCATCTTGATGGATGAACAGTTACAAACAGTCAGTAAAACTGTCAGTAAGCAGCCAGATTAACACTTTTTTAATTTAGGATTATCTTTAGAGGCAAATGCAACACAAACCCAGCCACTGGTAGCCTAATCCAACCATTCAGTAGCATTTACTCAACAATGAAATACAGTTTCAGCTGGAAGTTAAGAGTCCCTAGACATTGTAATCTGGCCCTATAACATCCTGTCATTGGAAAATGGTGGCTTTGTCCCAGATATTGTCACACACCCAGTTAATGCCACAGCAGCCCCTGGAACACTCCCCCCACACCCTTCCTGCTATATTTCACTCTCTCTCTCTGTCTCTTCTCTTTCTTCCCACCGCTTAGCGACACAGTTTAATCCACATGCTTGGCAGGGATCCTTACACAAGCCCGTGAAAGACACACTGTCAAATTGACAGCCATGTAGAGAGTGCTGTTAAACACAGTGACTGCACACCTCTGTCACCTGGTTTCATCACTGGTACACAGATCCAGACTTCCCCAGGTCTCCTTGTCTAGGTCAGGGCCTTTCTGGCTGCTTTGCATACTGGGATTTACAGTTATCAGTGGGTATAGCTCTTGAAGCATGTCTCAGCACTGTTGGGTTTACACTGTTGTGGCCAAGAAACGCTTTGATAATTTGCTTAGTTTTTTGCACTCCTTTAATTTGACTTAATCCTTTTCCTTCTTTTTGTCCTTTCATTTCTCACTTGCAACATGCTTGACAATTTTTGCATGGGAAATATGCACCTGTTTCATTGTTTTTTAAAGAACGACTAAGTGTTTCTACGTATTTGTGATGGAAAATCCTTTCTCACAGTCTCCTCCTCTGTTTGTTTTGATTTCTCTTCCTCTTCTCTGACTACCTCAGTTGTTCCTACTCTGTTTGTGCAGTTGTTTGCTGCAATGCTGTTCACTGTAATTCTTCACCAACCCCACCAGCCCCTTCCCCTCCCCTCGCCCCCTCCTCTACCCCTCTCATTACGGTCCTGTGGGGTTCCGCAGTAGTAGAGACGTGGAGTCCTTGTGTGAGCAGGGTTGCATTACTGATCCCAAAAGCAGTTGTTGATCACATCTAGTTCTAAAGTAAAGAGGAAGGAGGCCAAATGTCGGTCTCGCTCCAACATTTTTTCTGTTCGGGTTTTTTTTTGTTCTTAATATTATTTGTTTTTGGGGTTATTGAACAACGAAAGCGCAGCTTCATATTTATGACAGGTCATCAGCTCCAACCTGAAGAATTAAGGTGAAGAGCATTTATTTAATGTTGAAGTTTTTATGATTTTTTTCCCTCCTCTTTGTGTGCCCTTTTCCTAGTGTCCATTTGTTTCTGTTTATGAGATAATTTCTTTTGGTGTCTCTTGTCTTGTTCTGGCTTTATGCATCCTGCATGGCCTGAGCGTCAGCCTCGTCCCTGCCTTCTCCTCTTCTATCAACTCCTTCACTTTCTCTCTGCCCTTTCCTGTTTGTCTGGAGCGTCCCTGAGCTCTGCTGTCTCACCTCTGAATGAACTGATCCAGCATGGCTTCCCTGCATCCTCTCTCTGCATCCTGTCTCTCCCACAGCACCGTTCCTGCTTCTTGAACCGTCCCCCTCCACTTTTGGTTTCCTCTCTACGCTTTATTTTTCCAGCTCTCACATGTAACATGAGTGTCAAACTTTCATCCATCTACTCATCTCTTGATGTCATGAATAACAAAGAACAATACATGGAAAGATGTATTTATGGTTGAGCTGAGGGACCTATGTCATAATATGTAAGGCATAGAACATAGCCAGTGTGAAGCGGATTTGAAGGCACTGAGACTTCTAAATAACAAACAACGTAGCACATTAAAATGCAGCATCCATTTTGTCTCCGAGCACTGAGACCCCTCTCTGTCTTCTCACTTTTATTCTCTCTGGTTTAGACCACGGGGAGATGATGGAGATGCAGGGTTTCGGAGGCAGCCCGTCGTCGTGGCAACAGGCCGAAGTAACCACTCACGAGTCGCTGTGCCAGTCCTGCACCACGGCGGGTAGCAACGTGTCGTTCGACTACCCGGTCGGCTGTACCTGCATACACGACCCATCAGACATTCATACGTATGTCCTTAGAATGAGATTTTACGATGCACTGGATCAATTCTGAAAGAATTATAGCAAGACACTCCTGTTAATCAATCAAATACAACCCAAATGAGTGTTTAATAATAATAATTATTGACTTTCTCTTTATAGTTTGTAAGTAAGACTTTTTATCTAGTCCATCTGTCCATTAGATAAAACACATTAAGCCATTACTGTCTTTGCTTCAGCTTCAGCCATGCTGGTGGATTCCTCATTAAAAGGCATATAATAAAAATTAAAAATTAAAAAAATATCAGACTAAGGCTTGGCAAAAGTGGTTGATTTCTTTTCTTTCCACCAGTGTTCCTCTTAAGATGCTCTGCCAGAACATGAAGAGGCAGATAGTCTCCAGAGCCTTTTATGGATGTAAGTACGGATGTTCTGCACAGCATTGATTCATTCATTTCTAGCTGTTTGAATGTTGTTGATTGTGACATTAATTGTGGCAGACATCTAAACTCCTTTCTTATACACAAGTGAATCAGAAGTTAATATTTTTAGTGAAGTGTATGCCGACAATTTTATGTTATTTAAACATATATAATACAATGCAAGTAGCCTAACAATATGCTAAAAACTAATAATTCATCTATTTAGAAAAGAGTAATCTTATAGTCAAAATCTTGTCCCCAGGCAAGTTTCTATGCTGAGTCTTATTTGAGAATAAGAGTGTAACAAGTAAAATAAGAGGCAGTAGTAACATTGTACTGCTTCCAGTTGAGAGCAAAATTGATTTTAAAATCAATTAAAGTTATTAAAAATTACTAAAAATAATGCATGACTCAATGCAGCAGCTGCTGCTGGATAAAGAAACAAGTGTTCAAACTGTATTGAAATATCCCTGTAAATATGTCAAACATGTAATAAACTGCTGGGTAATATAACATTTATAGTGCTATTCAAATATTGTTTTTAATTACAGCATCAGTGTGAAGACAATATTTTACCATTAGCTAGTTGCTCTGTATAATGATACAGTTATTTTATAAAAGCAGGTTTACACAATATTCCAAATACAATAGAATTGTTTAAGGACATAATTACAATTAAACATGCATGGCAAGATTGTAACATTTCAGGGTAGTATGCAACATATGTAAGATTTTTTTTGTGCCTGTAAATAGTGAAAGATGATCATTTAAGTTTACATAAATCTTGTGAGTTTGAGGACATATTGGTGCACGTTGTTCATTCTGTATGTCACCTGACCACAGACATTCAGGTGGTGTATGACAGGGGAAACCTTGTATTCTTACATTATCTTTAATAGTGGGTCTACTGCTTATACACAGTGGTGGGACAATTAATACAAGGTTTTTACATGGCTGTTAAATTTATTAACTGACAATAAATCAAGCCTGTTCAACCCTGGAATGTGTAGATAGGTGCTAAACCATCAAATCAAACATCATGAGCAAGACAGCACTCCATAGAAATGTTTTAGTATTCCTCCACGAATGTTTCTGGTGTCAGTGTGCTAACTGGCAACAGTGTTATAAGCAAGCAAAGGTGAGCTGTATAACATAATAAAGTGCAACAATGTAGGCAGTGGAAGGTGTCGTATCATATCATATTGAGTGTCTAAGCATAAAGGGTTATGTTCTACAGACTGTAAAGCCTTCTGAGACAAATCTGTGATTTCAGGAAATATAAATACTATTTGACGTTATCGGTGCTTGGTCTCAGCTGTGTGCGTCTGTCCTTGTCTCACATGTCCATCAGGGCTGGCCTACTGTCGACACCTGTCCACTGTGCGGACTCACCTGTCAGCTCTGGTCAACCACAACATCGTCCCTCCAGACAGACCCTGCGAGGCGGCCGGGGGCCTCAGCAAAGAGGTGTGGAGCAAATACCAGAAAGACTGCAAGGTGGGTACAGAGCAGAGAGGTTTATACAGCAGCAAACAGTGAGGTTGAAAGAAAAAAGAAACCTAGGAGCTTGATTGACCTCTTCCAGCAAGTAGCAGGAATTACAATCACATAAACAAGACTTTTAATCTTCTTCCTGCACCATCTGACACCCCTCTACCCGTCCACCCCTTCATCTGCAGGCCAGTGAAGTTAAAGCCAGAAATCACAGCAGATTGCCAAGTCATCATTGAGTCATTGGTATTGATCAAGCCTCATAGGTAAATCATGGTCCACATCAGGGGGGCTGTGCAAGGCTTATTTACAGTAAGTGTGATAAGCTGACGTAACCTGTGAGTTCTTTTTCCACAAGAACAAATTGTTATAATAGGTTGTTGTTAGAAATATTATTTAGTAATCTTGTTTACATCAAGTGTGGCAATGGCTGTGTAGGTGGTGCTGGTGTATCGTATATCTGTTCCTGGTTCAAAAACTACAAATCCCACATTCCACAAGTCGCAATGCTGCAATCACGGGAGAGTTTTCTGAGATGAGTGTTTTCACTCATCAGTGTAAGAAGTGATCAGTGATAAAGGGGTTGCAAGTGGGTTGAGTAAATGTTAAAACAGCATGTCATGATGCTGAAATTGCTTAGATCAAATCTGCTATAGGCAGGTAACTATTACTGCTGTTAGTTGCATGGCTGTGCCTGTAGGGAAAAAAAACCTTATTGAGAGCATATTAGCTAATCCAAATGAACAAGTGTAGTAATCTGATTATAATTGTGTGCACATTTTTATATTCACTTGATAGAGCGGCACAAAATACAGAAAGCAAGATTAAACAAAGGAAATATTAAATGGAATAAAAATAATGACATTGTTTCCTTATGAAGTAGCTGTATAGAATACCTAAATCTGGCATAGGGTCTCAAGGAGAGACTGTATAAAAGAAGTAGATGTAGCCACCGTGATGTCACCCTTTGGTTTGTACTCATGACTTTTGTTTTAAAAGTTCAACAGCCACATATATGTGTAGATAAAAAGCCAAGTCAATAATCACGGTCAGATCAGTATGATCAGGATACTTGCCAACCTCCAGACATGGTAGCCCAAACCTAAGAGTCTTCACCCCAGAATCTATGTGTCAAACCAGAGACTGTATTTCTTTACATTCTGGAGAATGTATGGAATATTATAGTTCATAATAAGCAAGAGTGTATGTTTACCTTGACGCAATTAATTATAGGCTACATTAGTTTTTCCAATGCGTGAGAAAAGTGATGTATGGCGTGTGAAAATTGGCAATTGCGTGATTCTCATTCTCAATGTGTGAGAGTTGGCAGCTCTGGGTTTGTGGACTACTGTTTTAAAGCCTAGAGTTTGGCACTTTGGCCGTCCCCATCTTGTTTTTTGGAACCAGAAGTGACCATATTCGAATGACAGGGTGGAGCTACAGGTGAAACTTGAAAAATTAGCATATAGTGCAAAAATTTATTTCAGTAATTCAACTTAAAAGGTGAAACTAATATATTATATAGACTCATTACATGCAAAGTGAGGTATTTCAAGCCTTTATTTGATATAATTTCGATGATTATGGCGTACAGCTTATGAAAACCCCAAATTCAAAATCTCAGAAAATTTGAATATTACATGAAGTCAATAAAAAAAAGGATTTTAAATACAGAAATGTCAGCCCTCTGAAAAGTATAATCATGCATATGTACTCAGTACTTGGTTTGGGCCCCTTTTGCATGAATTACTGCCTCAATGCGGCGTGGCATGGATGCTATCAGCCTGTGGCACTGCTGTAGTGTTATGGAAGACCAGGATGCTTCAATAGCGGCCTTCAGCTCTTCTGCATTGTTCGGTCTCATGTCTTTCATCTTTCTCTTGGCAATGCCCCATAGCTTCTCTGTGGGGTTCAGGTCAGGCAGTTTGCTGGCCAATCAAGCACAGTAATCCCATGGTCATTGAACCAGGTTTTGGTACTTTTGGCAGTGTGGGCAGGTGCCAAGTCCTGCTGGAAAATGAAGTCAGCATCTCCATAAAGCTCGTCTGCTGAAGGAAGCATAAAGTGCTCTAAAATGTCCTGGTAGATGGCCGCGCTGACTCTGGACTTAATAAAGCCCAATGGACCAACAGCAGCAGATGACATGGCTCCCCAAACCAACACAGACTGTGGAAACTTCACACTGGACTTCCAAACCAACACAGACTGTGGAAACTTCACACTGGACTTAAAGCATCTTGGATTGTGTGCCTCTCCATTCTTCCTCCAGACTCTGGGTGGTGGCTCTTGATGCAGTAACTCCAGCCTCAGTCCACTCCTTGTGAAGCTCCTCCACACATTTGAATGGCCTTTTCCTGACAATCCTCTCCAGGCTACGGTCATCCCTGCTGCTTGTGCACCTTTTTCTTCCACTTAACTTTCTATTAATGTGCCTTGATACAGCACTTTGAGAACATCCAACTTCTTTTGCAATTACCTTTTGAGGCTTTCACTCCTTGTGGAGGGTGTCAATGATGGTTTTCTGCACAACTGTCAGGTCAGCAGTCTTCCCCATGATTGTGAATTCCACTGAACCAGACTGAGAGACCAATTAAAGGCTCAGGAACCCTTTGCAGGTCTTTTGGATTAATTAGCTGATTAGAATGTGACACTTTGAGCCCACAATACTGAACCTTTTCACACTATTCTAATTTTCTGAGATTTTGAATTTGGGGTTTTCATAAACTGTACGCCATAATCATCGAAATGATATCAAATAAAGGCTTGAAATACCTCACTTTGCATGTAATGAGTCTATATAATATATTAGTTTGACCTTTTAAATTGAATTACTGAAATAAATGAACTTTTGCAGGATATGCAAACAGGTCGCCATGGTAGCGACTTGTCAATCACAAGGTAGCTGCATCCTAAAGTAATTGTTTTGGTTTTCATAATGTGTAATATAACATGCCTTTTGTGGCTTCCTACTCCAACACTACTGTTTCAGTTTCTTCAGTCATGAAATTCTTTAGCTTTTTGCCTTTATGCTCAAGTTATGTATGGTATGAGCCCAATGAGGGTGTTGTCATCCGCAGACGTCAGGAGCTTGACAGACTGGTGACTGAAGGTGCAGCTGTTCAGGGAGAAGAGCAGAGGGGAAAGAACGCAAGCCTTGAGCCAGGACACACATCTAGGCAAACAGGCAGTATGCACCTCTCTGATTAGAACAACATTTTTTAATTCATTTTTTTAAAGAAGTGTGCAAAGTAAGAACATTTCCACGCACATAATAGTGAATGAGGCCCAATGTCACTTATGTCAGACAGCTAGATTTTGGTCTAGTGGATACATTTGGGAAGAGGAAGGCAAGGAAGACACCGGAAAGTGGAGGGGCATGTACCCAGGGACCTCTTGGGACCGTGATCCAGCCCTGCTCTCTCCTTCACTCTAATGAAAATATAATGAGTTTCAGTGAAATGAAGTCTCATTACAGGGTGCAGTAAGAGACCATCGTAGCTATTAAAGCAGCCTCTGTAATCATTCATCATTCAACTCCAACAAAGTCATCATTACTAATTTACACTCTATTCATATCTGTTCGCTTTATCTTCTGCACTCGTCTGCCTTTCTCTGTATGGATCGCAATCACTCTTTCTCTTCCACTCCTTCCATTATTAATGCACTTCCTCTTCCTCTTGTTCCTCTCACCACTCACACCAGGCTTCTTCTTAATGTCATCTGAATTCTTATTTTACTTTATATTCCTATTTTTCTTTCTCTTTGTTTGTGTGTGTGTGTGTGTGTGTGTATAGAACTATAAGGAGCTGGAGCTGCTTAGGCTTGTTTATTATGGCGGAGTGCAACACGACATCAGGAAGGAGGTTTGGCCTTTCCTGCTGGGACACTACAAGTTCGGCATGGGCAAAAAGGACATGAGCCAGGTACAGCACACACACACACACACACACACACACACTGTCTGAATTTGCCTCTTAATTTGAAAAGCAATATGTGATTGCCTTTTTGTCCCCGTGAAGATTGATGCAAAGATCAGCGAGCGCTACCAGCAGGTGATGCGTGAGTGGAAGGCATGTGAAGTAATCGTCAAGCAGAGGGAGAAGGAGATGCAGTCGGCCATCTTTGCCAAGCTCTCCTCCGGCAGCAGCATTGACAGCCATGTCCTACGACTGGTTCACAGAGACTCCACACTCAGCAATGAGGTGAAACTCAACACAATGTGACATCAAGCCAACAAACATCTGTCTGCTTGTTAAACTTAGCGATATAGAAAGCATTTTTTGATAATAGAAAGCATGTGTTACAAACTGGGATGTAGAGTCCCAGGTTTCATGCATCTAACAGGAGATTTTATGGTGTTGCATCATAGGAAGAGTAGAGTACGCTCTAGACCTGCTCTGTATAAAAGGTGCAGTGAGATAACTTCTGTTAAGAATTGACACTATATAAATAAAACTAAATTGAATCCAGCTAAGGACAGTAAATGGACTGTACTTGTATAGCGCTTTTCTAGTCTTACAAAGCTTTACACTACATGGCACTTTCACTCCATTCACACACATTCATACACTGATGACTCTACCATGCAAGGTGCCAACTGCCCAGGTGCCCTGCGAGGAAAGTTGGGGATCAAACCGACGTTCTTTCAACTAGCCGACGACCAGCTCTACCTCCAAGCCATTGCCAACCCTCACATAGGATATCTTGTCAGGACAACTCGGCACCTGCTGCATTAATTTTGAAAATTTTAATTTAATTTTTCGAGCATTTTGTTTTGATAGTGAACACGGGGGGAGTTTCGATTCCATGGTCGGTGTCTAAACCCCTGGGCCACCAGGACTATTCTTATTGCTGGTCTAAATGCAAAAATCTGATATTCCTAAATGACACAATGTCCCTTAAGGAAGTGACAGTGATCTGCTCATTCATCTGTTCTTAAAAAGAAAGATTACAGTGATAGCAGTAAAAGAGAACACACTGTCTATAGTGTTTATGTACACGTTTATGTGTGCAGTTACAATAGATAAGTACACATTAACTAATGAAGGGAGGATTAGCTGTAACAGAGGTTAAGATGGAGGCAGAAAGCTAGTTGCAACGGACAGAAATGCAAACCATATGATTTATGATCTCACCCTGCATCACTGCCATCTGCTGTCACTTCTAAAGTTCCATCCTTCTTCAGGTGTTTATGTCGGTGGATGAGCCGGATGCGGGGAGCCAGGAGACCCCCAATGGAGAGGACAATACCCCCACCATGACCACCCTGGTTCCCCCTGCAGCCCTCCCCCCAGAGGAGCGCCCTCTGGTGGAGTTTGACTCCCCTGACTCGGGTCTCCCCTCGTCCAGAAACTACTCTGTGACCTCTGCTCATTCTCAGATCCTGTCCAGCATAGACGACGGTCAGAGTACGGAGGAGGAAGGGGGGGGTGGGGAGGAGGGCAGCACTCCGGGGGTGCTGGGTGGGCGTCAGGACTCTCTGACAGAGGACAGGCTGTGCAGTCAGCTGGACAAACTGGTGACCAATGGAGCTGCTGCAGAGGGGATATCACCTTCACTCTCCTCATATACGGTATGTAGAGGATGTGGATATGTCTGTTTATTTAATCTGACTGAGCAAGCCTGCAACAAGAGGGGAAAACATGACTTAAAGGCTAAAAGTCAATTAAAATGCCAAAGAAACTTTGATTTACACTCATTCAGCAATATTTTGTTTGTGCAGATCGAGCTGTTGGACACAGTTGCCCTCAACCTCCACAGGATAGACAAAGATGTGCAGCGTTGCGACCGCAACTATTATTACTTCACCACAGCCAACCTGGAGAAACTACGCAACATCATGTGCAGGTATGTGGAAAAAGTCTTGAGATCTCGCCATGCTGCTATATTCAATATTTTTAAACGAACAATGGATTACATGTAATGTGAAGGATGTCGCTTGTAGTAACAAAGCCAGAGAATGACCCCCCAGATATACTGTTCCCCTCAGCTTTTAAACATCTATCAGCCAATTGTTTAGGTTTTACAGCCCACAACTGTACTTCTTTTGATTCACTCTCACTGTCAATTTCTCTCATCGTCATTTTCAGAAGACAGCTGTTTTCAAAAAAATAAATAAATAAATCAAACTCACTGCACACTACCTACTCAGCACCAAACAGACAGAGAGAGTTAGCCACTATCTGGTGAACATAGTGGAGCATTTAGCAGCTAAAGAGCCAGATATTTCTCTCAGCAGTTGGTGTGGAGCAAGCTTGAGCTAATCAAGTGAATGTTGGTCTTACATTTACAAGGTGGTGAATAGCAAGACTCCAATGAATGCTTTCTCTTCATGGTGTGTAACTAAGTCACACCATATCAACTTAAAAGGTGACAACATGTTAGTGTTGTGTTTAATTCTGCTGCCCCCAAGTGGCCAAAAAAATGAGCTGGCATAGATTCAAGTAAACGCAATACCACAATGTAAAAATATTTTAATACAAGTAAAGGTCCTGCATTCAAAATCTTACATGAGTAAACGTACATACTGCATAATAGATATAATCAGCAAAGTACTCACTATGCAGAAAAATGGCACTTTGTTGATATTTTATATTAGATTATTGGATTGTTAATACATATGTGCAAGTAGCTGGTCAAGATGGAGCTGAGTTTAACTACTTTACACATTAAGAAGTAGTTTTTTCAACAAATATTAAATTATTTAAGTATTTTATTTATTTGTGCACCCAGTGTTTTATATGGTAATATACTGGAGTATTAAGTAGACAATGGACACAATCAAATAGAAGTCACAAATAAAATGTTCCCTTAAGTACTTGAGTTCCATTGCACCACTGGAAGACACACACAAACACCCCCACCCACAGTATAACAAGTACATTAAATCTGTTGAGTTGAATGTGATTTGTTTGCTCTCTGATCAAGCTCTTGTTTGTCTTGGCTTTTCTCCATCTTGCCTGCAGCTATGTGTGGGAGCATTTAGAGATGGGCTACGTTCAGGGCATGTGTGACCTGCTCGCTCCACTCATGGTCATCCTGGATGACGGTGAGAAGAAAGAATCATCATATATTGCATATCTGTTGACAGTAATTATTATAAATAGCACAGATGATGAAAAATAGCCCCAGTAGCCATTACATAATTGAAGCTAAGATGCCTCATTTCATAATAGGAATAATAAATGGACTTCACACTCGTGTCACAAATGTAATAGCTGACAAACTGGACTGTTCGCTGTGTATGCAGGTCAGCTCACTTAAAGTGAACAGTCTGGTGAGGTAAATTTCTTTCTATATTTGGAATACTATGACATTAAACTGCCTGTTTATAAGGTTGTGTCACGCAGAACCCTGCACATTGGCATTAACAGCAAATAGACACTCATTGATGTCACAAATGTTCAAAATTATATTGGGAAATATTATTTGTTGCCAACGCAACCGTTTTAGCGCTGTCCTGGCTACATGACCCTATGTTCTTTCTGTGTGTGTGTGTGTGTGTGTGTGTGTTTGTGTGTATGTGTGTCAGAGTGCCTGGCTTACAGCTGTTTCACTCAGCTAATGAAGAGGATGAGTCAGAACTTCCCTAATGGTGGAGCCATGGACACACACTTTGCCAACATGAGGTCACTGATTCAGGTGATGTTACTCTGTGTGTGGGTGCGTGTGTGTGTGTGTGTGTGTGTGTGTGTGTGTGTGTGCGTGCGTGCGTGCATGACAGAGAACGCTGGTATTTCTACTAAAACCCATTGACGTTCTCTCTGCTCTCACTCTGCTGTCAGATCCTGGACTCCGAGCTGTTTGAACTGATGCAGCAGAATGGAGATTACACTCACTTCTACTTCTGTTACCGCTGGTTCCTGCTGGACTTCAAGAGAGGTGAAAAACACATCATCCACTGTCACTCCCCTCTGTTCTCTAACTGAGTTGTGTACCTCAAAGCTGCATTAAGTCATTTTGACTCCTGAGGGGCCAAAGTCTCTTGATCACACTCACACAGTGTTTGCAAATGGGAAGCTGGCAGGTGTTCTTGTCATTGTTGTTCTGCACTAGACACTCCTCATGGTTAGATGACACAGTGTGGATCACAACTGGTGGGGATGACATAAATCTCTGGCATGCTATGCAGTACAGGTGAAGCTCATGACTGGCAGCAGCATCAGGAGAATAAACTATGGTATGCTGTACCAAGTGCCCATAATGTTGTAGGTTCAGCACCTTTGTGGCATGTCTCTTAACAACGTTTCTCTCTGCTGCCCATATCTAATCTTTCTAATAAAAGCAGAAATGCCTTAAAGGGTGAAAAACTGAGGTCTTAACTTACACATATGATAAAATGACCATAATACATCTGCAGCAGTAACTGACTATATTGTTGATTAATACCAGTGAGCAAAACTCACCTTTATCTTTAACAGTAAACAGAACCACAGGAACATGTTTCAGCTTTTCAGAAAGACCCATTAAAGCTAGTTAAAAGTGGGGAGACTTAGAAGTCTCTAAAAAAATGTTTTGCGTGTGTGCATGTGTGTGTGTGTGTGTGTGTGTGTGCGTGCGTGCGTGCGTGCGTGTGTGTGTGCGTGCGTGTGTGCAGAGCTCCTGTATGAAGATGTGTTTGCAGTGTGGGAGGTGATCTGGGTGGCTCCTAGGATTTCCTCGCAGCAGTTTGTGCTCTTTCTGGCCTTGGCCTTGGTCACAGTTTACCGCGAAATCATCATCGACAACAACATGGACTTCACTGACATTATCAAGTTCTTCAATGGTGAGAGACATTCACATATTATAGTGTGTAATTAAATTTTTGTGGATTGCTTAATTCTCACTGTTCTGTTATGGCTGCCATTAGCGGACAACAGAAAGTTACAAGTTATTGTGACCAGTTACATTGTGTAGTAAAATGTGTGTGATGATATAACAAAACTGTGTTTGTGTAGAGTAGCACAATTCTAGTATATTGTATTTTCAGGAAAGTATAAGGTATGGGCAATATGGATAAAATCCTCTGTTGCTGTATGCCTGGTCCAATTAACAAACTAAGTTTGAAATGTATCCATAAAATGATCATGTTGAAATATCTGTTTTTGTGTGATCTAGTGAAATACATTTTAATACCAGTTACATCGAAGTAAATCTTCACAATTGATACAAAAATCCTAAACCAAATAAATTGGTCCTACTCACTGATATATACTGGTAAACCTTGCCATAGAAACAGTACACCGGTGTTTCTATCAGCTAACAAATCTGCTTCCTCATGAAAACTGACTGCTAATTTAGAAGGACAAATAAATAAATTATATTGTATCACACAGTATTTTATAAATGTTTTAATTAATTCATAAATTACACATTTCCATTATGTAGCTCAGTTATACCCAATCAGGGGTATGTGTACCCCAGTAAATACTTCTGCAGTTGCCAGGGGGCACTTGGGAAGATGGATAAGTGGTTGAAATATTAAGCCAAATTTAATGGATAAATGGTTGAAATAGTTTGTTGATATAGTTATGTAAAAATAATGGATAAATGGTTGAGCCAAATGTAATGATTAAATGTTTGAACCATTAAACCAAAAGTAATGTTGGTTGAAATTGTTAGAGAAAATAAATGGATAAAAAAGATGAAATATTAAGCCAAGATATTAAGCCAAATGGATAAATGGTTTAAATAGTTATATAAAAGTATAAATTAATGGTTAAAATAATTAGTAAAATGTATGGAGAACCACTTTAAATAGTCAGCTGCAAGTAATGGATAAATGGTTGAATTTGTTAGCTAAAAATAATGAATAAATGGTTAGCTTAGAGTAATGGATAAATGGTTGAAATGGTTATCTTAAAGTATTGATAAATAGTTGAAATAATTAGCAAAATGTATTGGTTTAAATGGTTAGCTAAAAGTAATGGATGGATGAATGGTTGAAATTAAAGTAATGGATACTTGGTTAAAACTGTTAGCTTAATGTAAAGGTAAATGGTTAAAACAGTTAGATTAGCATAATGGATAAATGGTTGAAATTGCTAGCTAAAGTAAATGGATAAATGGTTGAAACCTTCTTTTATAGTTGTACCACAAAAGCAAACTTGACCAAAAAAAAATTTAAAAAAAGAGACCAAACCTGACAGGAACATGACCGGTGGTGTATATATACTACTGGTACTACATCTGGTAGGGCTGTGACAGGAATTGTATTGTATACAGCATGTATAATTCTGTAGCTGCCTTTCTAACAGTGTGTGTGATCCACAGAGATGGCTGAGCGCCATGATGTCCAACATATCTTGAAGATAGCACGTGAACTGGTGCACAAAGTCCAGTCTCTGATGGACAACAAGTGACTATAGAGGAAGAAGAGGACTGGGAGAATGCAGAGTGAGAGTGTCTGACCCTACAGGACACTCCGCTCTTCATCTCATCCTTCACAGAGTGTTACCAGGCCTCCACCTGTCCAAAGTAAGTCCAGGGAGTCCAGGTTTCCTCCCTGCCCAAATGAAGGCCCTGGGAGTGGGGCAGGAACGCTGCTGAGGTCAGCCTAGCTCTGGAGCTCAGCCTCAATCTGTTTACATTTACCTTCACATGGAATGCCCATGGTGTCCGTTCAGACATGTGGATTTGTCTGCATGCTTGTGAGTTTGATCACACTGTGAACGCATTCTTGAGTCTCCCCAGTTCTACAGAGCTTGTGTGTGCATGAAAACACACACACACACACACACACACACACACACACACACAGACACACACACACACACACACTCCAACTCCAACAACATTGGCTCTATCAATACTCCAGTGTCACCCTAACTCAGAACCAGAATGTGTTAGATGCCTGTCAGGAAGGCTGAAGCGTTCTCAGTGTTTGATGAACGTGTTCCTCCATGCAATGCCAGCGGAGGCCACTAGAGTGCAGGATTTACCTACAACATTGTCAGAGGAGCTGAAGTCTTAGCCACGAAGAAGTTTTCATTAGTGACCAAATGGACTGTGCCAACTACCTTTTCATGAGCGTTTTCTACAACAAGCATGTGTGTTTTATCCCCCCCCCCCCCTCCCTCCTTTTTGTCCAGAGTTAATTATCACACAAATGTTGCCTTTATTAGTAACAGCCCAAGGTTCTTAGTTGCACTTTTTGTGATGGTTTCCTTATCATAGTCGGTGGGGGCCAGAGGCACCACAAGAGGCCAAACTGATGAGAAACTTGGAATGAATTGCAGCCATTTTTCCTGACCATGTTAATTAGTGTTTAAAGCATTTTAATCCTTGCAGCAGAGCACAACAGTAAAGACAAAAGCACATGGCCTTCCTCCCTACTTTAATATGAAACTTGTGAACCTGTATTTTGTAGCACCATGATTTTAGTTCAGGGTCACTGGGGACGCTGAGGTCATGTCTCCAGTAATATTTCTGGGAATTTGGTGCATTTAATGACCTGAGGTGGCTTTTACATTCTATGATTAAATACATATTAGTTTTTTAATATCCAAAACTTTTTAGACCATTGTGGCTTTTTTCCTACTCTCAGTAGTGACTATGGCTAGTCAAGTGACACATTCAATTATCCATAACACAGTATTATAGATTTTTGGCTGGTTAGAAGAAGTAGACATGTCAGACTGAGAGAAAGAGTGTATAAAATAAACATGATTAGGAAAATCCTTCGAGAACGGAAAGAAAATGTCATATTTATCATAATTACCAATATCTAAAGATGGATATTCATTTAAGAATAAGACTGGCATTATTCTATATTTTAGTTATTGTCAACAAATCCTATGTGAAAACCAAAACCAACATCCCTACCCCTGTCTGTGGAACTCGAGCGTACTGAAGACGTAAGGGTTAGGGTTAAAGGGTTTCAACTGATTTTAAAATTATTCCTTCCTGAGAATATGTCACTCTTTTCCTGGGATTTCTTGCCATAAACAGGCTTCTTAACTATAAAATGCATTCATATTACATTTTTTGTAATTTTATGATATAATTTGTTCATATGTGTTAGATAATGTGGTAATAATAGATCAGTTCTTCTTAAAATTACATCTTAAATGTGGAAAAACACATGGTCCAGGCACAGAGGAAAATGTAAGGTATATTGGCTTTGACCACACACAAAATACTTGTTAGTAGAATACATTCTCTGTTGGTTTTGGTCTTTTCATGGGATTTGTTGACAATAAGAAAATCTGTATATTGCCTTATCCTTTAAATGAATCCATGTTTGTCTTTGGAACTGGAGTCAAACATGCTCACTGATCTGAAGGCACCATGAAGACTGTTAAACTTCTTATTGCATTCAGCAGTACCGTCAGGAAAAGTGGTTGCAATAGTCCATGTGGATCATCATTCTCCTCCTGCCTAAAGTCCAGCTTCTGAAAATAAAACATACTGGGCTGGTCTTTATAACAGATCTGTGGGCCCAGTTTTTTTTTTTTTTTTTTTTGAAAAGAAGCTGCTTTAAAAGCCAAACTTTCTCTAGTGTTCGGTGAATCAGTATTAGGTTGGTTTTGGCTTCTCAGTAACAGCACAGAGTACATTCATATTTGTATGTGAAGGGAATCTGGGAAATTTTTTATACTGTTTTCAATCCCCCTCATTAGTGTAACCCTCGATCTCCACCCTCCTCGCCTCCTTAAAATGTCCAACACGGCTGCATATGATTGGTCATCCAGCACGGACCTGCACCTGTGATTCAAGTGCCAAGAGTCTTCCCCAATCCTGAAGTGTACTGTAGTCATCCGGCTCTCTGATTTGCTAGTTTGATCCCAGGAACGGGCGGTGGTGTGGATGTACCTCGCTTACGGCCTCTCCCCCTCCCCCACCCCGCCGCTAGGGTGGTGGAGGGCTGGCGGGGAAACCAGGGCCCATAGCAGAGCTTTTTCTTCCAATCAGGACCTTGTCTACCAAAGCCTTGAAACAGCCCCCTCTGTGGCATGACAACAATGTGCAATTTCATACTGCATCTTGAAGACTGACTGTTTACTATGTGTGTAAAATATTTTTGAAAATGGTTGTCTTGGATTCTTTAACTACTGTGCAATTTGTCGTTTGAGAAAATCCATCGAAGTCTATATTGCTGTAAATACGAACCAAAAGCCCAATATTTCTATAAAGACAGTCAGAACATATATATATATATATAAACTTATTTTGAGATCTATTTTTTATGTTGGTTTTAGCAGCACTAGTTGGAGGTGTGTACTGTGCAGAAATGCAGAATGTGTGCAGACTATGTTACACGTTGACTGTTAAGTGTTCTTTCTCAATGTTGTGCACTGATTTTAAATTTCTATTTAGAGAGCCAATGATTGCATTGCTGAATATGTATTGGTAAGGACGTATCATTTGCCTTGAATGTAATGTATTATTAAATAAGCATTTGTTCATTAGTGGGCCACTGTCTTTCTTTTTAACTATTGATGCTACAGAGATGTTCTGACTTTAAATATGTTCCTTCTCTGTTTGTAATTGTTCGTCTAAATCGACATGAACCGTCTGGTTTAAAGATGCACTGATCAATATTTTTGTATTAACAATGGATCAAATCAGATTTGCTTGAATTGACAAACGCAGAGAGAATTATCGGCCAACTCTGTAGTTCCTCTCAGCTCTTCAGAGCTTTGTAGCATCTTTCAACTCATTGTTTTTTTTTCCCAGCCCGCAACTTTAATGTTCGGTATAAAAACTGTACACCGTTCACTTCCTGCCCAGCACCAAGCAGCAGACAGACATGAGCACAGTGGAGCATTTAGCAGCTAAATAGCCAGATATTTACGTTACCCGTGTCTGCTGGATGTGTAAATAAGAAACCCTTTGCTGACAAGTTTGCTATAAAAACTTGATAAAAGTGCTGGCAGCGTTCACTATCCCCAAGTGGCCGCAGAAAATCATTTATTTTAGGTTTAAAATCAAAATCATCTGAATCAATGTAGGATACAAGCAGCAAACACACTTTGAAGTTTGAAGTTCTCTATGACTTCCTCTTACCAGAGTTCAATCATTCTCCAGAATTGTAATGCCTTCTACGCCTTCATCTGTTCTTGGTTTCGGTCAGCTTGATGAAACACATCTTTGCTTAGGAATATGCACCACAGCTGAAACTAAAGCCTGAGGGTTTAATACCAGACCCTGACACTGTGGCTCTTAACAACACACTGCCAGAATGTCAGGAAACAACGCAGGAGCCTTCAGGTTCCTTTAAGATTTAATTGATTGTGTACTTAATTGGTGTTAATTCCTTTCAAATTAGCAATCAATCACATTCCACTGAAACTCCTGACACACTGAACTTTTGTTTGCCCCGGGGGTCTAAGACTCTGGGGGCAGATGCTTCCTTTGAGAGCTTTGTTAATGTAAAGAACAATGCCATTTCTTAACATCCACATGTATTTAGCACTGTCAGGAGCATGAAGAGTGTCAGACTTGAGCTGCAATAATCAGGACCTTGTGCTTACTGAAAAAGTTTCACCTTAAGATTTACATTTCATTTCAATGTTCGGTTATTTTCCACTTTACTCTCCTCATTATCTTTGATTTATAGTTGAATGCCGGCACTAAACAAAGAAACAGACTGACAACAGGTTTTTAAAAAAAGCATTGTTTATCACGGTTGATAATCCAAACTGATCAGTACCCATGACATTGCACAATACAAAGGCATGAAAAAAAAAAGTAACATTAAAATAGGTATTGCATCTTCCAAAAGCTAATTATCCATTCATAAATACTTCTCGCGATTTCGTTCACTGCAATTTCTTACAACAGAATCATTAATTTTCCCTAAATAGCCAGAAATAAGTTCTAAAAATTGATGAGTGTGATGTGACATGAAATATAACAATCAGCAGACATTCTGTGGTTGTGAGAAGTATTAGTATTATTTTTTTGTACAGTACAACATCGAAGGCCAAGAGTTCTCTGTAGACGGGGAGTGTTAGCAGCCCACAGGAGGAGGGGCTGACTGGTGAGGAGACTGGCCTGCGGTGGTCATGTGACCTCTGAAAGGTGCCGAGGCCCAACACAAATGGTGAGATGGATGAGATGTCATGATTTCCTCTTCCACAGCACCTGTTCTGAGACATGAGAATTTATTGACTTCAAGTCACACAAAGTGGGTTTGTCTTCCCACTGTGACGCAACATTTCATGACTGTTTGATGACTGAAAACCTTATTTGTTGGATTTGTTAATGCTTTCAGTCTGTCGCCCACTAACCAGTTCACTCTGACAATTTAAGTTTGACATTGTGGGAAATATCCTCCCTTACTTTCTTGCTGAGAGTTAGATGAGAAGATCTATGCTACCCTCACATCTGTAGAAGAAGCTGGAACTCGCAGTCGGTTAGCTTAGCTTAGCATAAAGACTGGAAATGGGGAAATGGCTAGCTTGGCCCTGTCCAAAGGTAACAAAATCCTCCTTTCAGCCCCTCTAAAGCTCACTGAAGAACACGTTATATTTCTTGTTTGGGGTTATGTGTGGGACTATTTCTTGGCTGGCAGCAGTAACTTCTTGGAGTATCTGCTGGTTGCCTGGCAACTGGTCCCAGCTAAGAAACAATGTAGCACATAAAACCCCGTAAAATGCTCCAGCTACATAATAACCTACAGACATGATGCAATCTTCTCATCTTACAACATTTCTGATAAATAATAAATTATTAGATACAATTATTATATAAAAATACGAACATGAATAATATATAATGCTGCTGTTGTATATCACAGTAAACTAAATATCTTTGGTAAATTGTGATGTGTGTGTTTCTGTTTTCTGGAGTATAAATCCGAATAATTTCTACAGTATGCAGAAAATTTTTAGGTACTTTATTTTTAAAAAATGCTACTGTTTTACTCCACTACATTTATCTGACAGCTACAAGGTACTTTCTGATTTTACACACAAAACACGACAATATTTTGAAAAAAAAGTACAGCTTATAATATGAATCCATATATAAAGTAGTTCATATGTAAGCAGGTTGTAGCTGGATGAGCTAGAGCTGATTTTTAATTATTTTGTACGCTGTACAATTTATAACAACGTGTTCATTTGAAAAGTAACTAGTAACTACAGCTCTCAGACAAACGTAGCAGAACACAAAGTACAATCGTGTCCAGCTGGTACCTGTGTGTTGCAGTGACGGCACTCCCTCTGCTCCTAGCTGGGGTTGGGTTTGTCTGCAGACTTCTGAATCTGTATGGAGGAACAAAGAGCAGAACACAGACAGGCAGAAGTTACAGGATCTGCTCTCAGGATGACAGGCAGCGCTGTGACAAAGTGAAGAAACACCAGAATATGCAACGTGAACCACCAAGAAAATGGCCACAGCTGACTCACCAGCTGACTCACTGACTTCAACATATTTATTTTCTTTCCCCTTTATTCAGTGAACAAAGGCTGACTGTGTTAATAAAAAGCATTATTAGTAAATCAGAAGTAGACACATTCTTCTGAAAGTGTGTTTCTAAAACATGTAGAAAACGGGTGTTGATTGGTAGAACTACCATAGGAGGGCAGAATTGCTCTTTAGCCAACACCAACCTCTTAAACCGAAACCCAAAGATAAGGCAACACAAAGAGACTAACAGGCAAAATAACCACTAAAGACGGAAAAAAAGGCAATCATGAAGTGGAGACCAGAAAACAACAAAAGAAAAGGCTGCAGTATATGGAGAGAAACTCAAGTCAAAAAACAAGAGGAGATGAGTAACTGTGAGCAGATGGAAATCTGGAACAAGAGCTTCCTCTGAGCTGGAGATGGTTTAACTCAAATCAGATGCTAATAAAAGGCAGAATTTGAAATAAAAATGAAGTAAAATAAAGCTAAACAACAGGCAGAAATGTTACTGTACCTGTGATTGTTCTTTAAGGAAATCGGGTAGCTGAAATTCACCTTTAAAGACCTAGAAAACAAAGGACCAGGTTTAGAGGTTTAAAGCTCCACAATTTCACTGAATCTGCATGAATTCATCATGTGAATTACCACGGTCAAGCTTTACTGGATCATCAGTAAACCTTAATATATAAATGCTTATTAAACCACTGAATAAATACGATTAAAGCATATTTACACATGTATAAAAGCATGATTAACCCTGCTTAAAATCCAAGCTGAGCAGTCACAATCTGACAGATGAACTCCACCCTCAGTGTATATCTGACGCTGGGGGGTTTCTGCAGAGACACTGTGTCATGCAAGGTGAACATCTGCGACCTAGAAAGGTGGAGGCTGCTGGACACATGCCAGGAATTTCAAGCTCACTTATGCCATGTAGTTTTGTCTTAGGGGATGACATGGGACCAGACTGAGCAGTGAAAAGAGACAGAGCAGAGAAATGGTCAGATGGAGGTGTGTGTGTTGGATGAGTCTTTCCAGGAAAAGGCTCTCCTCTTGCTGGCCTCAGCCACACTGTCAACACGTAAATGGACTACTCCTGGATCCTTCCAGTTTATTACTAACATGCGTCTTATTTCCACAGAATCTACACAGGAAGTCACCTCCTTTTTGTTGAATAAATAAATTAAAAAAAACATTGTAGCACAGGGTTGTTCTGTCAGCCAGAGATTAAGAAGAATGTGGAGCAAAGGTTGGGCTATGAGTAACAACAGTAAGATGATGGAGGGAAGCTGAATATCAGAGGACTTGAACGTATAACAGCAGTAGTATTGTGTTGAGTACTACAGTACATCAGTGGGCAGTTATGAGCTCCTTCAAAATCAATTTTTGATCTCTTTTCTTCTATAGTTCTCATCCTTACCATCCCATTCAAACTCCTGTATACCCCAATCAGATATATTATTTTATTAGTTTGTTTGCAACACCTGGCTTACCTTTCATGAAAAAATAATATGTAGTGTAGTAATGGTGCATGTTGTATAGTCCTGTACCATTTGTTGTTGTTTATTTGAATCTGAATTATTACTTATGTGAATTATTACTTATAATTACTCATTTGACCATTTGCTAAACCACTCCCCCAACAGAGACAGTCAAATAACCTCAGCAACTCTAATCAGGCACGGCTGTCAAGCATTGAATTTCTCCACGTGTTGAATGGAGGTCTATGGGCCGTATTAAGAGCCACAGGGTTTAGCGATGGGTCAATGCCAATAAAGTACAATTGAGTTGGAAATTTAACTGCTAAACACAGAAGGACATGACAGTCTTGCTCTGCAAATTTCATCAGCCTGGTATTACAGCTTACTTAGGTTTACTGAGGTGAAAGCCATTACCTTATTATGAAATGTGAGGAGGGTGATGGACAATCTGTACCTGTAAAACATTTCATCAAGCTAAATAAGTTACACAATTACATGGATGTTGTTTCTGTCTTCTCCCTCATTCATACATCTTGATGAGATGTCTATCTTGGAATGATTATATATATCAA